ATATATATATATATATATATATATATATATATATATATATATTTCTGTATATCTATATCTATATGTGTGTGTGCTTGACTATACAAAAATATAAATGCAACACTTCTGTTTTTGCTCCCATTTTTCATGAGCTGAACTCAAAGATCTAAGACTTTTTCTATGTACACAAAAAAAAGCCCTTTTCTCTCAAAAATTGTTCTCAAATGTGTGTAAATCTGTGTTAGAGAGCACTTCTCCTTTGCTGAGACGATCCATCCACCTCACAGGTGTGGCATACCAATATTATAGATTATACAGCAGTGAATTGAATTGAATTCAGTGAATTATTGAATTCAATTCATTTCTCTACCATAAGCCATCTCCAAAAGTGTTTAGATGATTTTGCAGTACTGTATATCCAACCGGCATCAAACTTTTGGTCAACCGTTTAATGCACACTCAGTCATTCTTTAATTATACAAACTAAAACCAGCTTAATGTAGTTTTGTCTTATGGCTCGAGCATTCATCAGTTTAGTGCTTTGTTATTACTGGGTGTGAACCCACTTTTCAGAATTGTATCTTCCAAACTACTGGTGTGAACTCTCTCAAACTGAGCCAAATTCAGAGTTCAAATACTTTTTTTTTTTAATGTTTGATGTTTGATGTCATACTTTGTAATAAGTTTTCTAAAATAATTAAATATATATATATATATATATTTTTTTATGTCTTTACATCCCCGTGACCCAAAATGGAAGAAGCAGGTAAAAAATAATGGATGGATGGATGGATGGATGGAAGTCTTTACATCACCATCAACTCTGCATCTTGCAGTGCTGCTATTTAATATACCCTTTTACAATATTAGTATTTAGCATATATCATAAATCTTTTAGCGCATCGTTTAGCGTTCATTTAGTATATATCTTAGTGTATATCTTAGATTCTTATGTTCTTTTTATACTTTACGTTTTGTTATTTTTGTGTGCAACTGGCACCTTGAGTACACAATTTCTTTCCACCTCATGTACCACATGTGATGCAAATGACAATAAAGAACCTTGAAACTTGACTCTTATCAACAAAGACTTCAATGGTTAAAGGCAAACACAGATATTGGCAGTTTGAATTTTACTGTCGCTCTAATAAAATATATTGTAATAGGAAGTGCCACCATAGTGGTTACAGAAGTGTTAAAGCTTGCTATTTGCGCTTGAAAATAACCACATAATTCTATTTAAATAACTTTGTATTGTGAAACTTATGGTAAAGTAAAGGTTTAAATATTTGGCATTTACATGAATAACAACAAATAAAGGGACTGCTCTGTCCTAAAATGATAGAAGTGCTCCTGACTGACTGTGTTCAGACAAACCTGTAGATTTGGTTCACTGACATTTTCAAGTTTCTCTTGTGAGTCAGAGAGGCGTGCAGTCTAGTCTTTTGAATTTTGTGGAGAGTTGTTTTATTTGTATTTATGTTTTACTTGTGCTTATTAGTGTGAAAATGTGATGCTTATACACAGAAGTGGAGACAGTGCTGACAATGCTGCTGTAGTCCAACATCTTTTTGTTATTGTCGACATGAAACACACTCATATCATTTGCTTTTCAGATACTTTGACAAAAGAAAGAAAGGCTGTTTTAAACTCAGCTGATTTATTTAAACCTTCTGATTAGTCACCGAAAATCAGACTAGTCATTAAAGTCATTTAAAGCAAAATATGACTTTATGTATTCATCAAAAAGTAATGTTGTCAAAGTGTGATGTATTTTTTGCAGATACAAAAGATGCTTCTAATCAGACTGAAAATGCATTTGTTAGAACTTTTTAAAAGTAAATTCTACACAAACTCATGCTCAAGCTCATTTGAAATATTTCACAGTAAAATCAAGTTTGCAGCAGCTCACCATCAGATTGTTCAAGGTTCAAGATTCTTTATTGTCATTCGCATCACATGTGGTACATGAGGTTGAACAAAATTGTGTACTCAAGGTCCCAGTTATATTCAAAAATATCAAAAAATATAAAGTATAAGAAAATAAGCTGTATACAAGGATCTAAGATATACACTAAACAAAAATAATGTGATATAATACAGTGTAGTAAACAGCAGCCGGAACATGCGTCTGTATTGAGCAGATGGATATGAATATAGCAACTTAAGGTAAGAAATCAGCAGCATGGATAATCAGCAGCACAGATAAAGTTTCAAATCTCCAATTAAAGTGGCATTACAGTGATTTTTTTTTTTTTTTTTTTCCTGATTAGGGATTTATGAGTCTAACAGCTTCAGGGTAGAAGCTGTTCCTTAGTCTAGTGCAGGGGTCAGCAACTTTTATGATCAAAAGAGCCATTTTTACACCTTCATTCACTAAATTAAATGTGTCCAGAGCTGCAACAACCTGCTACAACTGTGGTTATCAACTGGTGGCCCAAGGGCCACTTTAGGTTTGTTGAGGAGACTTGTGTGGCCAATAAGGGTGACATTATAAAGATAAAATATCTAATGATGTTTAACATGTGTTGATATTTTAACAATTCAAGACAAATTAAAAGACCAGATTCTTGTTGGAGTGGGTATAGTTAAAAAAAAAAAAAAACTGTGCAGACCTATGGGGTTTTATCAATAGTGGAAAAATAACTAAGTATAGAAATAAAGCAAAAAGTTAGAGTATTTGCAAAAGAAATGAAGGAAAACATCTAGAACTAGTGCATTTTTGTTGTTTGTAGAACCACCAATAAAATTTAGTTTTATGTTAGTTTTGGTCAAAGCTTGAAAGAGCTGCTGCAGAGGGACCAAAGAGCCGCATGCGGCACCAGAGCCGCAGGTTGCAGACCCCTGGCCTAGTGGTTCTGCACTTAATTCGCCTCAACCTCCTGCCTGAGGGGAGCAGAGCAAAAAGTGTGTGCTGGGTGAGTGGGGTCCTTCATGATGCAGGTGGCCTCTTCCTGCATCTGGAGGTGTAGATGTCTGTGATGGTGGGGAGACAGACTCCAACAGACTTCTGTGCAGCCTTCACCACTTTCTGCAAATATTTTCTTTCTGCAGCTGCGCAGCCTCCATGCCACACGTTAATGCTGGAGCACAAGATGCTCTCCACTGCACACCTGTAGAAGGAGGGGTTATTGGCCTTTAATGCATTTACTTTACAAAAATATACATAAAAATATACACAATTCTAATTCAAAAGCTTTCTTTCTAGTAAATGAAAACATATTTCTGACAATCAATGCGAAGTAGCAGTATTTAAATGGTAAGTGTTTAGTTGTCAAGTTCTAGTTAAAAATTATGAACACAACAGTTTTTTCATTCAGCATATTTTTCTTGTACAAGTAGAAACCCTGTAAATCTGCTCTTGATGGTCACCATTGTGGATGAGCTCTGCTGCTATTCAAGCATTAAGAAAAGCATTTCAGCGAACACAAAATCAGAACATGACCCTGACTGCAGACTAAGTCCTTATCATTTATGACAAATTTCTTGGAAAAGAAAAATTTAAATAACACTTTTTTTTTCATCCATGTTAGACAAGATTCAGCAGGAAAGGTGAAAAACAGTGCCAGACAAGAATATCACAATAAAACATTCAAATATTGAGTATGCATGCAGATTCTTAAGAGACAGGCACTCAAACCAAGTGCTTCAAACAAAAGGTGACAAAAGATACAGCAACCGGGTACAGAAGAAGAAAGTAATGTGTCTGAACTTTGAATCTTATAAATAATTAATTTAAAAATGTTAAACATCTAAACTCATATAGTGTGGAATCTTTATAAATATAGTTTTTATAAACTTTACAAGACTGTGAAATCCATGAATCCAACCAAGTAAACTACACTAAACCACTGAAAAATGTTGGATTGTATACCTGGATTATTGAGCATGGACTTTGTTGTCAAGTAAACTACAATTTATTGCATGAGCTGCACAGTTTGGTCTGTGGGTTAAACAAAATGAAATTGTGAATAAGCTTTTGTCTTTCGCTACAAATGTGTCATGTTTTCTAATATCTTTTTAACAACACTTAAACCTTATTTTTGTTAATATTGTGCAAATTATTTCTTATCTTTTCACTATTATCTGTTCTCCGTGGAAAAAAAGGAGTTTAATTTTTTTTAATTTCTTTTATTGTTTCCACTGGGGAGTGCAGAAAGACCCCGGATAGACACATGTTATGGGATTTGGCTCCAAACATTGCGTTATGTCTTCTCATCTCCATTCACAAGGTCCTAGGAGTGATGCATTGATTCAGCCTTCAGCGTTCCCTTGACTGAACCATGTTAATTCTAACTGAACTCTTTAGAGACTC